GGCCACTCCGAATACCTTCGTTTTAGTCGGATGAGACAACGATTTGGAAAGGTAGTACTGGTTCTCGCATATTATGTAAAGTTAGGTCACAAAAATAAATGAAAATGGAAATGAAGAAAACTCAAAGTCGTTTCTATTGTGTTAAGTATTTTTTAAGTTGAAGTCATCTTCGCTATTTCAGATGAGTAAGTGACTACACTTTCATGCCGAACTCACACCGGTCACATGAAATTCAGCAAACGCTGTCGTATCATCAAGCACATGCGGGCCTCTTCTGCGGGCTAAAGTTCAAAAATTTCGAAATGTATGGGAAATCGACACCATATTACGAAACTTAATATTCACATCTAGCAACACATTGAACCGCCCCGATCTGTGATCCGAAACTGTGTGATATAAAGAAGGAAACACAGAGAGGAAAGGGCAGTCCAATGAAAGCTAAAGGTCACTGTCGAGAGGAGAAGAGGAGTACAACAATCGCTCGACAAAAGTAAATTCTTCAGGGTAAGAAACGGTTGTATATTTATGGCTGTGTGTTGAAGGGGACGGCGATTTGTACATGGCGTTCTTTTGCTACTATTTATTGCACCTTAACCTTTACGAATACAAAAAGCCGTGAAGTAGTGGCTGTTTGGACTTATGACATGCATTGAAAGCAACGTAGCTGGAGCTTAATTATTAAGATTAGCATATCTTGATCGATCGTTGAAGCATAAAACCATAAAACCCGGTCCGTGCTTGGTCAAAAGCATCTTATAACGATTCTCGGTTGATCTTATGCACATACATCACTACGATTCTGTTCAACCCCCTTTACAGATTCTGTACAAACGGATGTGTGTATTTCTCTATGGAATCTTCTCAATGCTCCCTCTAGAGAGCATCTAACTTAAGCAAGCCATTTACGATGAGGATACTTTAGAACTTACGAATAACTATGCTGCCAAAGGCCACAGGTTAAAAAAGTGTTGTACAGTGGTGACTAGGCCGTGCACAACGATCGAATGACAGGCATTGACGTCTGCTACTACATCACATAGTACAATATCATCTCCTATGCACTACCAATTTCAAGAGTGTTCATTCATAAGAAGGAAATCGTAGGGCAGTATTTTATCGAGGTACATAAAACTTTGTGTTGGAAAGATTCCTAGAGCTCGGCCTCGCAGGGAAGTGGCAGCAATCCAGTACCTGAATGACACGATTATGATGCTGTGAGTTGGATTCGGTGTTCTAGAAAAGTTGACGTTTTCCATTGCATCTCTCGTAGAGGCCTCTTTATTCTAAAAAATTGCGAGAAAGTGAGTGGGCTAATTTGTTTACGATATTCTAAGGAATGTTCCCACTTCACATTTACGGTCTTTGTGATTTAAACCAGTGAATGATAAAGGGTTGTCTCGTTTCTTAATCATAGTTCTTTCTGCAGTGGATGGTGATAGGAAACAGCTTAGAAACAACAAGAAAATCGTCCAAGACTGAATGCCAACGAAGTGCTCGAAAGCTTCTTTATGAAGCATTCTTCGTTTATCAAAAGAAAAGAGTAAACGAGCGAATAACACAGTAGTCGGTCATCACGAACATGGTACTACTTTGATTCCGCTCCGGGCCAACCAAGCCTCTCATCACTCCGGGGTAAGGAAACCGAACTTGGTACCGAACTTCTCCGGGAATGAACAATTCTCTGCAATCCAGTTGGGAACGCTCCTGCCCGGCAATGTCAGAACTCCAGGGCGAATCAACTCGACCGGTATTCTACCACATTCAAAATGAAATGAAAATCCTCAAGCAATACCCGAACGTTATTAAAACGTTTCCCGAACACCGTTCCGATGTTATTTCCATCCGACTGTTAGCTAGTTAGTCACGCCGGCACCCGTTGGATAAAATCCCGCCCACGCGAACGAGTTTCCCGCGAAATCCCAAAAGACTCGGTCTTCGTCGCTCTGACGTTACTTCCAGCCGGTTGTCACTACTACCGGACTGTCTAATGCACTGCGGACGAGGGAAATGCATAAATTTTTGTGAAGCCGAGAACTGTTTTCAGTCTCCACAAATCTCGCTAATTTCCTCTATAATACTACGATATTCGGTGTCTTTGGAGGTAGTGCTAGTGTGCTTCCATTAAGGTCTAGTAGAGGATTCTGATGCGTGGAGATCAGATGTATTGCTTTTTAAACAAATTAGACCTTAATGGGTCATAGAACTGTTTTCATAGTCACTAAAAATCTCGGTAATTCCCACTATAATGCTACGATACTCGGTGTCTTTGGAGGGAACGACCTCTGTGGTGCAGTGTGTAATACGCGAGCCTCCGGAAAGGATAATCGTGGTTCGATCTGGCCTGTGATCCAAGTTTTTCCGATATCTCAGCATCATCGAAATGTCTTCTTCCCACATTCACCGCCTTCTATGAGTCTTCTAGTCTTGAATACGTGGAGACCAACCGCACAGAGTCTACATTTGAAAGGGTAATCTACTCTCTCACCCAAAAAAAATAGTCTTAAATACACTGCGAGATCAAATGTAATAAAGAGGCATTTCTTCCTATGGCTCATTTTTGGTTTCTTCGAGTCTATCCAAAATGTTGTGCAAAATTTTGACGTAGAAGTTACCATCCTCGCACCGGTATCGAAAACCTCAACTTATAAAACTTCCTAACGAATTGAAGAAGTTGAAGAATCCGCATGATGTATAAGAAAGAGCCATTTGTTCATCTATGTAAATTTGTACAATATTTGCATTAGTCAGGGATAAAGAAAGAATGGAATTAAAGGTGTTTCAATTGCTTGCCTTCGAAGGTTGTTTTTCCTTTATGGAATCAAGGCAGTGTGAGCTTCTCCTTTCTACAAACGCTATACTGTCACCCATGTTGTAGAACAACTTCTCAGTTTTAGCTTTTGGTTAAAAAAAGATGAAGCTCTTTGCATTGATCAATCTCTGAGAGATGTACTACGCTTTCGAGTTCATTAATGGAGGTGACTGAATGAATATCTGGCCTTCACAATGATTCCCGGTGATCTACCGATGTATCGAGCCAGTACTGCTACGTTCCCAGGTAAGTCTGGTACTAAGTTGCCGACCTCTGAAGGATGGAAGGCTCGGTGTCTAGAGCACAGGGATCGATCCCATCTGTATCGCAGGGCGCCTCCACTACGCTACACGCACCGCTCCTAGGTTTTTGAAGGCCGTGTGAAACTATGCCAATTAAATATGCAATGCCAGATATACCATAACACCGCTGCGTTCGTAAATATCATGGTTCATACGAAAAATGAGGAAAATTTGCAGCTTATCCGTTAGGTAATACCTCTTCGTAAAATCCGTGGGATTTACTCTAAACGCAACCACATATTGCTCTTCATAGATTCTGTTGCCGTTATAGAAACAGCATTCATTTTTGCGCCGATATATTTGCAACCTTGTTTATCTCCATGGCTCTCTTCTGCATCAGGTAACTTCTCAAACCGGGGTTTTGCGACTATTATAATATTCGTGCATTCGTTATCAGCTTTAGCGCTAGGTGCAACGTCTACGCTTCACGCCCTCTGTCCCTGAACTACGTTTGTTACTGAAATGGAAGTAAAAACTTGCTCAAATTTGCGCTTTTCCGTTTCGTTTTTTTAAAACTAGCTGGTGAAATATATAAATGTGTATCGACACATTGACGTTTGAAAGTAGTTTATAGATGCCAACAGAATGATGCAGACATACGAGCAAAACTTGGGACCTCAGGTACGTTTCGAACCCACGATTTCCCTTTCCGGTCGCGAACATGCTTTCCACCATGCCAAACAAAGCTTTGCCTTTCTCTCAGCCAGTTTTTGCTTTACTCTAACGGTGAGATCAGCAATCACCCGTCAACGGAAATGATCTGCGGAGCAAAAAGTGGCATCAAGGCCAGTTAAGCTGGAGCTGAATAGAAATAATAATATCTTAACCTTTATTTACTTCCTCTTCTTTTTTCATTGCCGGATACGACGTAAAAAGAGTGATTGCTAATAGCAACACTGCTCTGAAGAAGTGGCTAGGAGAAAGGTAAAGCGAGAGTTTTGATGGTGGAATGTATAATACGTGTGCCCTTGGAAATAGTAATCGGCAATTCGAAGCTGGCCTGATTTTCCGAGTTTTCCAAATATCTCAACATCATTGTGGTTGTACTTTACATATCAACCTGCCGTAGAAAAAAATAATAAGCAGTAAACAAAAATTGAAGCCATTATTTTGCTCTTCATGAGTCTTCCAGCTATTGTTGAGGAGCACAGGCACAGAGTCTTGTATAGATGAGGAATGTGCCTGACTCAGGACAAAAAATCATCCTTAGGTATGGCGCCAGATCACACGTGTTCACAAACCACTCCTCATTGCAACCCACTCTTTGATTTTCTGATCTAAAACGCTTCAAAAGTTTTACGTGCAGCTGTCTTAGATTTTTGTATGAAGATAGTGACTTTTACATTAAAATCTGATCAGTTATCTCTTCGCTCCGTGCACAGCAGAGCGCATTGTTTGACTTTAAGTTTACCGAATAGGTATTCTTTTACACAGACGCAAAGTGGTCTTCCGTTTTCCCAATGTATTTCTACTCACAAGCTTTACAAGAGATAAGGTCCACCGTATCCGAACTCACGCCATCACGGTCTCTACCATTAAAGGAAATTGTGCAATTGCGCGTTTCAGATAGACGGTAGTACAAACGCTTATGCGGTATGCAAAAAATTCAGTAGCAGTGATTGAAATACTACCGAGCTCTGTAGGTCGCCAGCTAACACGTAGCTGTTAATATGCGTTTACGAAACGCACATTTGCAGAGTTTGCGCTACTGATGGACACGGTGATTGCATGAGTTCGGTTCCGATGCATCTAAACTCTTGTAAAGTGCGTGAAGACGAATACGTTGACGTCTTTGTGCGAGAATCCTAAACATTATCGCTTAAAGTTCTTGATGTTTTGGCAACTTTCAAAAACCCAAGAAGCAACAGCAAGGAGGAGTGTGGAAACTGATGCGTCTAGTTCTATCTGTTGAGGCTATAAAAGTGTTTGAAAAGTACGCTGCTGCTGAGACGTTACCAAGCCCTGAGGAAGGTGAAGCTGCCGAAGTGACAGCTTTTGCGAATGAACAGATTCTGCAACGAAAAGGTCGCTTTTGTTCACCTAGGAAATAGTAAGTTGTTAATCAGTGCCTTAAAAAGAGATTATTGACATAGAAAAGCTCGTGCGCTTCGTAGACGATCAGCTAGACAACGTTTGGCTTGATTGGGTGTCGAAGCCTGATTATCGTCACCGCAAGGCTCAAAAAATTTTTAGGAAAATTATCGGAAACACTATACTTGCCGTCAGTTTCAGGTATTACAACAGCTAGGAGAAAAAAGCTAACATCTACCGTTCAGTAGAGGGCAATATGGTATTCTTCTCGTTCTTTTTCTTGGTCCTATTCTTTTTTTGATGCGTCCTGTGCTGTCACTTCCATTTCTCCTCACCCTTCCGATACATAACCAATTCACAAATAGAATGTCTAATCTATGACAGTGATGACAGTGTTTCAAGCAAGTTTAATGCAGTAGATTAGAAGCTCTTGACTGACTAATCTACGAGTTTCACACTAAAAGGTGATGAATCTATTTATATATCCAATCTTCTAGAGGGTGTGCAGCGCAGCGGTCTAGGTGCCCGGCAGTACGTAACGGATTGATCGCTGTTTCGATTCCGGGCTCAACAAATCTTCCATCAGTCAGGGTTTAGTAGACTTGCTTGGAAGGATAAAAACACCAACCTGATCAATCGATAGAATACGGTGTCATTGCGCAGGTCAGATATGCATTCACTCATCCCTGCGATGTTTGATGAAGTTGAATGTATGAGGCGTTTCTCACGAATCGGCCAGGTTCGACCGCTTTACCCTTTATTCTTCATTCGTTTTGAACATCACTAGAGCGTTATGTTTAGCTTCTTATTATGATAAAAAACAAAAAATAGAAGAATAGGAAAATGTCAAGCTCCATAAAACCTATTTCGATTCTGTACTTTTAAATTTTGACGCTAACATTTCTATGTTTAACCTTTTGTTTTCTGCCTTCTATAATTTTCATGGCAGGTTACTAAGTAAGCGAAATACAACCACAACGTTGCT